TGCTGGTTTAACAAACCTGTAAATGGCCTGTTTAAGAATGCTTAAAAAGGCAGCCTCATTCACAACCCTAAAATAATTTCCTAGTAAACAAAACTGTGCCAGTTCTTCTGGAACAGAACCCAGACACGCTAATTACGATTGAAATGAAAGAAGGGAAGTAGTTGTGGTGTGTAAAGTGATTTAAACAGTCATGGTTTGTTTTGCTCTCCCTCAGCAATGATGCAGCACAGCTCCTCTCTCTCTCTTCAGTCTTTGAATGAAGCGCTGATCCCCATTGATACATAACACCCTACCATTTGTTCGTTGGCACAGTTGAATTAAACTGATTTAAGCATTAAGCGTCTAATACAGCTCACTCAGCCTTTTAATGTTATGGTTATACTGTAGTTCTGCTTTTGAAGTTCTATCATTAAGATATCACTGCTTATGAGAGCACAGAATAAGAATATTTTAATCCGTTCTGATTAGAGTCACACCAGTCAAATTATTAAAGGATGATTTAGCTTTTAAGAAGCCTTCTTTTTATGAATGAATGCAGACTTTGAATATTTTTTCAGTTAAATCCCTTCTTTTCAGTAAATTAAATAAACTAGTACAGCAGAATTATATAGAAATATATAAAAATTATAAGTGCCATCGCAGAAAACGTTCACTATGAGGACAATCCCATCTATTTGTCTGTTTTCATGGGAGTAGTGTATTGTACTGTACTGTATATATCAATAAATGGTTAAATCTGTGAACTTTGCAGTCTGACTTACAGAGCATTCTTAAGCATTAGCGTTAATTAAAACAAAAATGTAATAAGGAAACAACCCTGAGTTTAGGATAGGAACACATTATGCATTGGGTAAAAAAGTGATTAGGCAGGGATAAGAGTACTTAAGAATGAATATAGCATGAAGTATCCAATTTCCCTGGCTGTTTATTTCATATTAATTATTAATCTGTGAGAAAGGCAAAATGAAAGCAGAAAAACAATAATACAACCACAAATACTCAGCTGAACAACTCCTTGAAGACATCACAGTCATGAGGTGCAGAGCTATTTTTAATCCAATTTGCACTTCCTGTTGCAGGAGGTCTTTCCTAAAAATAAGCCCCAAGTCTCGAGGTACAGCCCTACACAGTCAAGTGAAGAAGCATCTTTTTTTCCTATCCTTCATTAGCTAAACTGTGCAGTTTCGGATCAGCCAAATTGAGGTACTGTACAGTACTTTGCACTGAACAACTCAGAATTTCTTGCTTCTTAACCTTTAACTTGCCTGGCATAACAAAGCGATGGATTAGTGCTGTTTGGAATCGTAGCTTCAAAATTTGCTTGTGGGCACTTTTGTGGGCTGAGGCACTTCTGTTCCCAGGCCTTTGTGGCGCTTCGGTTTTAATTTGTAGTTTGCCTCCTGACATAACAAGCCTAAAAAACTTGGGAATTTGGATGGAGGCCTAAGCACACCCAAAGTCATTATGAGAACAAGATGTAGGCAAAACAATGCATTGGTTCTTTGAAAAACAAAAGCATAGCTAAAGGCCCAGCAAGGGTAAATGCCAGGCAATCCCAAAGAGAATAGAGGGCACCCCATCCCCCCTCTTCAATATTTCAGAGCCACAATACAGTTACAGGACTGTCAGGAAAGTAATGAATACTGGGAAAAATAAAGAATGGCCATCTATTACTCCATTATAGTGCTGGTTTTCAGTCTACGTAGAAACGTCTCAGTGCCTCTGAGAAAAACCAGGTAAAAAATGTTTTTGATGCAGGTTTCATCAAAACAGGAAGAAAAAAGGTTATACTTTCAATCTAAAACACAGAGCAAAACAGCTAGAATGTACAATTTGACTTGGCCACCTCTAACTTTAGATTTAATCCCTGCTTACTGTGGAGAATTATGACTTGATGTGAGCTGAAGCAACAGACATCTGTCCTTTGGTATTACGTTTCAGACGAAAATGTTTAGGCAAAAATATATTAGCAAGCAAGCCTACGTTTTATAAATCTCACATTTCCTGAGTGTGACATAAACACCTGGACGGACAACATGACCCTGCTCCTTGACCAGCAGAATGTGTGGATTATATTTTCTTCCTTTAGCAGAGAGCCTGAAGCTTCACCAAAATATGAAGAAAAGTGTAATTTTTGAGAAAACTGATGATTGCAAAACATGAACTGAACCAATGCCCTCTAGAGGCTAACCAGGGTTTCTGAACTATGTAGTAGATGGCCTTATGTTTGTTTTCTCTTCTTGTTTCTTTATGTTCTAAAATACTGATAAACCAACGTCTCAAAAAGCATGTTAGGTAAGTCAAGATAGTAATTAAGTGAGAACATGGGCCCTATTGTATTAAATACAAATAGCAATAGCAGCAGCCCTAATGTCCTGCCACCCCAGCATGCCCTCGGCAAAACACCGTTCCCTGTTGACAGTTTTTGACAATACAAGAGAGGATGAATTTACATCATGTGTATGTATTAGGATGCAAAAAAAAAAAACAATTTAAAACAATAACCACTGAACTCTACAGGGCTTTGGTGGTGTTGATGGCTGTTTATTGCTGTGAAACTCACCAGGCAGCAGACAAAGTATTAACCATTCTCGTTGCAATACACACAGAACTGTCCTAAGGCATATTTCATCATTAGCTCTTAGCAGTTAATCCCCTGCTCCAGTGACGGCTGCTCCTGAAACGATTTAAATAATCTGTATTGTATCATGGGTTCTCCACTGCCGTCACACATCAACAGATGAGCCCAGTCACACTTTTTTTTTTTTAACATTTTCAGAGAAAAAGAAAAATGTAATGTCTTAAAACACATTCTGACCCCAGAAGCAACACCATTTTGCATTTTAGAGCTCCATGTCAATAGGATTTTTGAAATCAACAACAGAACGTTGTAAGATGAGGAGAAGAGCTTTATATTACAGTGGTTCTTTTCTGGATGGAGATGAATATCTTGTGGACGAGTCACTGGAATCTTGTGCTTTAATGAGAGAGCGGCCATTTGTTAGTAATGATGGCTTGGGTACAATAGTTTACCATTCAGTTGCTCTCTTTGTTACATTGCATACATCACTCAAAAAAACATGTGCTTTCATTTACCCATTTCCCCCGAGAAGCAATGGAACGTAACCATCTCATTCCCTATTTGTTGTGTCTGGCCACTTAATATAATTCCATATTTCCATTTTCAAAAGGAATTTTTGCATGTGCAGGCAAAGATTTATATTCATCTTTACCTTTACTTCCACAAAAAGCTCCTGTTTAATACTGGTGTCTAAGACTTTGCGGAAAGAAAAAGCCACAACAACGCTTCCTGTTTTATTCTTTTTCAAGATTAACTGATCATCATACTGAATATGTTTCCTTACAAAGGACTGTCGCAGAACATTAGAAACCCAGCATGGCATCTCACTCCACTCGGGTTCTACTGCCCAAGCATTACTAATTGGGATTAAGCAGTATCAGAAACAAATTAGAGATTGACCATCCTTCGTGTGACACACGCTGAAAATAATTATTGGAATACTGTTCCTTGGATCACAAATAAAGCAATAAAAACATATATCTATACTTTAAGTTCTTCTTGTCATCCAAGAGGAAATAGTTAGAAAACTGAAACCACATTTGGTTTGGGGTTAGCCACAATACAACATAGAAAGCAATCTACTACACAAACACAACAGTTTCAAATTTCTTGCATTTATGCCACATCCATATAAAAATGCAGCACAGCAAATTTCTCTGGAGATGTCATAACCTATTAATATTTATTTCCCCGTGCTATACTATAGTATTCGATTTCACAGTAGAAACAAATGAACGATAAACATTCTTTGTATTTATTAGACCAAAAGCCAGATAATCTTGATATTATTGACAATGTATGACTAAAAGAAAAGGTGTTGAAATTCTTGTACTTCATTGTAAATATTGCTTCATACCACACAAATGAAAGGAGGATCACCCATTTAGCATCTTAATGTTTTTTTTCCTTTTGTTCTATCAGCATTTACATTTTATACTATACACTGATTAGCACAACTTTACATTTTATCACTTCCGTGATAATGTGAAAATTGAAATGAATGAGAAATAAAAATTGGTCTAATTTCTTTTTCCTTTCACCCTTCTCAGGTTGCTTTAAAATGGTAATACTACCATTTTAAACGTGCTATACAAAATCTTACTCCATCCATTCAGTTCCAGTTCAAACAGAAAACCAACAAGTGTGTGACTCGCATTAGCTTTTAACCAAACATTATTAACATAACACAGGCTTCTTGAAAAAAATCCAACTTTTAATTATTCAACGATATTGAACATTTGTTCTTCTGAATGGAATTTAAAATTGATCTGAGGAAACATGACTCTCCAATGACAGAATCATGCACCTCGAAGAGCAGCATTATTCCGAGGGCACAAAAATAAATGCCCATCACTTACACAAGTCTCGGTGACAAGGCCTCTTTGCCTTTTTACTCCCCATTGCACATACTCACGAAAGAACTGGCATACTGGCCTGCCCACTCTCACGTACTTTTATACTGCCTCCTTCTCTTAGTGTGTCTTGAAAACCTGAGACTGAACTCAAGATTTTGCTCTTTAAAAGTTTTCCAAACAAAAGAATAAAGTCAAAATCCACCTGGGATTCCCAGATACCATCAACAGTGAAGGAATTTATGAGGGCTGATGAGCACCATTCAGTCCTTAAAATACTGTATATTTTAAACTTTGCATTTTCAATTACAAAAATCAAATTACAAATCAGAGGAATGTATTCCTAAAAACATTAACAGCAGTGGTACTAAATAATTTAAGATCTCGTGATTTCCTCCCAATTTGAAACGTTTACACAAGCTACCATGCTCTTAACCATGCCTGAATAAAGTGCCAAGCATAAGGTCTTTTTTCTACTCATCTGATAAGAAACAAAACTCTTCCTTATAATGAAACCTTCTAGCCAGGCCCAGACCAGTCCCATGTTTAGACAAAGATAGCCTTACCTTTTTCAGTTTGCCACTCCTGGTGCCGATGAAAGCCAAGGAATGGTTCTTGTACACGTAGGCGATGACTGAGGTCATTCTGTCCGACTCTTCGGAGAACAGAGGGATCCCCCGAACCAGCTCTGATACTCCCAGTGGGGCATTCATATCCAACCCACAAAAATTGTCATCGATTGTTAAAAGCTGCAGACAGAAGAGAGAACATATTCTTGAGATTACATTACTAAGACTGGTTACACTAATCCACGTGGTTCTACAGAGCAAATGTTGCTGTAACAGTAGAAAGACAATCACCTTACAAGACTGTCAGGACACGAGGTTTAAACTTCTTATACCAAATACATTTTTTTGATTCCTCTTTTATCTTTCAAGGCCTCATCATAATGCTTTTCATGGAATGCAGGTTTGTAAAGAAGGATGAATGCGCAGCTGTTACCTCTGAGTGCTAAGCTGTATAGGTTAATTGGTGTCTCAAGATTGTACTTGTGTGTTTTCCCTGTGATGGACTGGTCTCCCATACAAGGTATAGTCCTTGTCTTGGGCCTTAAGCTTCCTGGAGAAGTTCACAATACCCATGACCCTCACAGGCAGCCTTCTGAACGTGGGTGGATGGATTAATGACAACAAGTCAAGACATTTAATTCAAACCACGATGATTTTTGTGATTCAAATTGAGGAAAGCTCAAAATAACTTAAAGCAAAAATACAGCATAAAACCTCAACCAAAGAATTTGAGCAGAATGTTTTATTTGCCAAAGGGGTACAGAGTAAAAGTAGTTCTTCGGCAACTGTAGACGCAGTTTGTGAAGCTCAGAGGCCGCTGTAACAATTTTTTTATTGGTCACAGCAGGACACAGCAGTGAATGGACACAGCCAAAGAAAAATGTATTGTACAGTATGACAAAGGAAGAGGCATGTTGAAAACAAACAACATCATGGAATGTAAGGTGGAAACTTGTAACAGATAGTGAAATAATTCCACATTTCTGCTTGGAAACAGAAACTCGTGATTTTTTTTAAATTATTTTTTTCATCCCAATGTCTGACCTTTACAAATGCTTTCCTGTCAGACTCAGCTAGGCCCAGTGGACTCTGCCTGCCAAGCCAGACTAATGGTGTTCATTTAGAGTGGGGGGCTTGTTAGAAGAACTGCTACATGATTTATCTGCTTTCTGCAATGTTAGTCTTTCTTCTGCTGTCTTACATCATTTGTGGAAGCCATGGATCAGCTCTGCGTTAGCTGTTCCTGTATATTACTGGCTTTTGCTTACTCCTATAGAAAGTCTCAGGTTCACCCCTGGCTTTTTCAAGGTTTTTTTATTGGGGACAGAAATGATCTCCATCACTACAAGTTTAGTAGTGAACCTACAGTATGTACCGTGAGTGCACATTTTCTGAACTGGTACCAAAATGAGCAGTCTGTACACAAGGGATAACAACTTTGAATAGCATATGACAAGGAAAAATATTTGACGAGCAAAAGGCTTATTTGCCAGTAATACATTTGGGTATGTTCTATGAAAACAGAAGTCTTAACCTTTATGGGGACTTCAATAATGTTTTAACACGCTTTGTGGAAAAACCTTTCTTTTTACTCTTCCTTCAAAATCCCTGAATGCTCAGACATGTATTTTTACCAATTCTCAGAGAAGGTAATGCAATTACATTCTACAGTACATTTCTGTAGAATTTTTCATAGATCTAGTCTTCTGATCATGGTTCATAATGCCAATGGGTTCAATTCACAACTGCAAAACATGATGCCTGGAGAAAAAGGCCACCACAGCCATGTCATCACAGTCCTTTCCTGCAACCTATTGGAATATACCTATTATCATCCAGTGTAGCCACATGAAGTCTATGGTTTTACAAACCATAAAAGCAAAAAAAAAGATAGCTTTGTGAATAGAGGGTGTGGATCTATTGTTTGCAGTATGCAGTAAAGCTGTGCATTTCTTTTTACAGTATATAGCTGCAGAAAATTTATTTTATTTTCAGATTCGTCCACATTACTCTGATTTTAGAAGCTACATTTCAGGTCTTTGCACAAAGCAATTGGATTGCTGCTCACTCCTCTTGTGTATGACATACATGTAGCATATTGTAACCTAACACGAGCAATGAACAGAAACCAGCCCTCTGGGGTGCCCAGGTGGCTCCTTCTCCAGTCAGCGCAGTACTGATGGGCACTCAGTGATGATCTTGTGGTCTGCTGTGGTGCTCCACAGCTGCAAACAGGGCTGTCATGGTAGCTCCAGCAGAACACTTGAGCTCTAAAATGATGCTGGCAGCTGCATTTAAAGCCAGTAAGGCCTGGCAAGGACAATATCGTGGCTCACTGAGATCTCATCCTGCACCTTAGACTGGAGTCATCCCTCTCTATGAATTTACTGCCCTTGATGTAGAGGTGGCTTTTAATGTTCACACCACACGTAAGACCTCTGAGGCTGAAGACAACTGAGGAAAACAGCCTGACTTGGGTTTGTGAAACAAGGTGATCTTTTGTCAGTTATTCACCTGGCACACAAAACTGTCTTACGTTTTAGCAATTTTATGTTTTCTTGATATTAGATAACCTGAGAACTAATACTCAGATCAGAAAAATAGTTCATTTGCTTTCATTTACCATTTTATACAGTAACAAACATCATGTCATCAGAAATCCTGCTGAATTAGCACATATGTTCTGATTGCTATATTTGATCATATATTAATTTTCCTCTGATATTTAAAAATATATTTTTCCATTAAAAAGCAATAAAACACTATATACCTTAGAACACGCTTTCCATATTTTGTCCTAAGAGTTCTGAAAACATCACAGACAAATGTAAATTTGCATCATACCCATAATTCCACACTATATTCCACACCTTAAATATGAAACTGAAAAAAAAACTAAAGACATTTAACTTCTAATAACAGCCTTAGTGGGGCATTTCTATTTTTCATTGTCCAAAACAACAGAATAAGATTAGTCAGGCTGTCTCTAGGACACAAAGAGTCTATGTTGACTGATCATTTAGTGACCAAACACAGAGTAACATATATTTTGATAACAAAGCTAAATGAGGTATATTTAGGATTTTTTTCATGCTTTCACTATCTAATCATACTCTCTGGCTCTTAGTATTATAGGGTCTCTAAGGTTATAGGCAATTTGATTTCCCTAAGTACATTGTAATTTAATTGGGCATTTCTGGAACAGAGGGTGTTTCTTTGGAAACACAGAATTTCCTGATGGCTGTGTGAAGAGACAAGTTACAGCCTGAAAGTCTTAAAGCACCCCGCTTTCAGCATGTAGGCTAGTTTTATGAAAATACAATTCTTCATATGGATCTTCAAAGTACGTGAACATTAGTGCAATAAAAAAAAAGCTCAAGTAAAGAAAAAAAATCAAAGACACAAACCAAATGATAAGAGCAGCAACACATCAATCACAGGCCTCTACTTTAGCAATCCTAGCAGTATCAACTCTCATTTCTTATTCAGGCTCCTGCAATTTTTTTAATACGCTTATGTTTCAAACCATCACCAATATCATAGAGCTAGTATCCTCATACATACAGCACCATGAAATTAAAAGTAGCATTCTCCTTCATCGCCACCAAGTCATTAACCTGTGAGTGCAAACAGACTCATCCATAAATCACAACATACAAAATGTCAATTTGGGATTGTTCTAGAAGAAATTACATTAAATGAGGTAGCAAGTGTGAATGGGACATACAATAAACAAAAAATGACTCCTTGAAATGTCTTAACTGTGTACTGTATGTATATGCTCATCAAGGAAAGACTGCAATCATTCTTAAATCATTTATCTTTCTTGTTTATACTGTAGGAACAAAAGGCTGGGAAAATAACTATTTTAATTGAAATCCTAGCACAGTATTCAGAGATAAAAAATATTTTCAAATTATTACTGAGGTAAAATGCCCTTTTAAAAAAACAAACACTGTACATTGCGAGTAGAGGAAAAAGGGTTATTTTATTTGTCTTGCTTTTGATTTTTTTAAATCTATGGCCTGTCCATTCAGTGATCCATGCTGCCCTCTATTAAGCTCAGCATGGATGATGGAGCAGTAGCTCTATGCTCTTCTATAGTCTGATAAGAGCATTCTTTCCACTGGAGTTATGAGTTTTGTCTGGTCCTTTCAAAAAAATGTACAGCCACGGCTTTTTCAAGTGTTTATCTTTTTTTGGAACAGTAGTCTAAAAGGTCAGGATTCATCGTGCTTCCAAGTCTTCAACTGCAATCAGGCTCACACATTCCAATTATTTCGGCCTATGTCAATTTTGTTTTTCTTCAGACTCTGTCAATACATTTTGGAACCTTGGAAAACTGTAGTTACTTCATAAACAAAACTAACAAATGAAGGAGAGCTCCTATATCCTCTAATCTGACTGCATTTCTAAGCTATTTACTTTATTCACATATTCTGCAATGCAGTGTATTGCTGGTGCAGATTGTGTCAGATGTCACCTCAATAAATGCTGCACTTCAGTGGTGAATGAAGTGGATCCATTCCTATATGTAAACCACTTTTATTTCCTTGGGATGAAAAGTACCTATTTAACCTTACAAGATAACCGGCAGTAGTGCTGTACCACTACACACTTTGGAAAATCTTTGTACTGTACAGTATATAGTATTTAAATATTCCAGCACTAAACTTACAACTAATCATACTTTTATAAACACTTGTACCCCCCAAAAAAAGCAGTGGATCTGCTTCTAGTATTTACTGACAAAACCTTGAACGGAGTGTTCAGGAATGTGCAGTCCCAAAATTATCCAGTTCTTCATTCATTCCATTCTGAAACTAATTACAAAAAGTGGGGCAATTGGGCTACTGCTAATTTCTTGGGAAAAGAAGCCCGAACCAGTGAAGTTCAATTGCTTTATGTCTCTAATCTATTTGGCAGAACGGCCACATATACCTGGACAAAGGACTACAATTAAATACTCAAAGAATTCAAGAACAACAGCACTATAAAAGAGATGAGAGCAAAATGAAATTGTGCCATATTATGGTTCCCTGCCGTACCCAGAGAACACTTTACCAGCTCTTTTCAACCATTAACCTGGACATTAATGAGCTCTGTAACATTATTTTCTCCTTTATATCAGGTTCTATAATAATAACATTATGTATGATGCTCTCTAAATGAATACGATT